CACACACACACATAAATATAGTAAAATTAAAGAATTGATGAGGGTAAATATAGACAAAGTACTTTATGAAATCCATTTCTATGCCAATAAAAACTATAAAATGAAGAGTTAAGCAGATCTTTCTTCAACTCAGGCAAGCTGAAATACATGAACTGTCTTTATAATATACAATCACATAAATCTACAGCTGTACTGAGTGAGCCCAGAACGTTCTCTAACTTGAGGAAACACTAGGAACCACAGGATTCTTTAATGTTACACATACAATATAGAAAACGGCACATTTTTTGGAGGCCTTTGGACGTATCTCTTTAAATCATTGAATACTTCAGCCCAAACATTTCCTTGGAAAATTCTTTCCTCATAATCCACAGGGTCACGCCGTGACCTGGTTCTGTTTGGTTTTGTGATAAATATGTCTAGCTGGAACTTCACGGTACACTTCAAGCTTTCTGTAATATGCAGGGTCAGGCAGGTCAGAGCTGCCACTACAGAATTCCAGGCCAGCACTTATCAGAGATCGAAGGGACGACATGGGGTCAGGCTGTCACACCTGATGGCAAAGAGAAAGACTGACTGTACCATCACGGAACAGGGAGAAGGGTTGAATTCCGTGTTACAAGGGAAGGATGTAAGCAAGGTCCAAGGATCTAAACAAAACAACAAAAAACCTGCTCCTTTTCACAGATGGACAAAGCAGACAGTTCTTGGAAAAATACCAGAACAGGGCAATGTATCTAATCTATCAGACTCAGGAAGAATGATGACACATGGTAGGAATTAAGATGATGAACTCGGCAAGCTTCAATAGCCATGAACACCAATACACACAGTCGAACTGTTGTAGATGTGGCACAAAGCAGGAAGTCCATAGACTTCCACCAGGGCAAGGCTCACCACGCCTGGGATAGCCAAGGTCCAGCTGGGCCTTCCAGAACCTTCTCTCCCCCAAGTGGCTGGTGCTCCTGACAAAACCATACATAGGTCCAAGGTGCTCCAGGAATGCCACAGCTTCCTGGTACACCTGCCCAGATGCCACGCCTGTAACTGGTATGGAAGGTGGGTCAAGAAATTAAACACAAGCTATCTCCAGTAGGGAGATAGGAAATCAAACTGAATTCGCCTGGATGCCCGCCTGGTCACATCGGCTGAGTGTGGCATGAATAAGCACCTCTCAGGCGGGATTGCTGCCAAGTTGAAGTGATTCTTCCTTTCGAGGCCCAGGGCAGAAGACTGTTATTGCTCAAGAACACATACAGTCCAGTCCTGTTATTATGTTGGCAATAAATTTATCCCACCTAATTTTGAGTGGCATTGGTAACTATAGTAACCAAATAACAACTGTAAAAACCTAGAACCTGTTTGGGGTGGGGACCCTGGTCAATGGTCTTCAGTTTGGGCTCATTTGAATTACCTGGCAAGCAGCCTTTAAACCAAGATTTAGTCAGGGCCCCGGGGCTAGGGAAGTAGGAAGACTATATTGTAGTATGAATAGAGCTAAGAGTTGTTTTTAGTACGCATGAAGTTTCAGTTTTGCAAGGTAAGACGTTGGAGATCCATTCCTAATGCACAACAATATGAATATACTTTGCTTTTGACAATGTGGGGATAGAACCAAGGCCTTGCACATACTAGATAAATGTTCAAAAATGCTTAACAAAACTGAACTGTCCACATAAAATTGGCTGGGCTAGTAACTAATGTTATGTGTATTTATAATGTTATGTTATTCATGTATTTGAAAAGCACAGATCACCAAGGCTCAGTACTGACTCCAAGTCGACTGAATTATAATTCCTGGGAATGGATTCCAGGCTTCACTGTTGTCATTAGTTATTTAATAATAGCACGGACATTGTTATCTTTGAAAGCTCTGCTAGCCTCCTCACGTGAAGGCAAAAGAATCAGACTCTTGGGGCTGGAGAGGGAACTCGGAGGAGGTGAGCACTGCCTGCTCTTACGGAGCACCTGGGTTCACTTCTCAGCACCCACATGACAGCTCACAACCACCCATAACTCCAGTTCCAGGGGATCCAGTGTCCTCTTCTGGCCTTTGCAGGCACCAGACAAGTGATCACTTATGTTGTTTGTTGTTTTTGCTCTTCTTTGGGGGGCCTGCCACCCAGCTCCCAAATAAATCACACATGGAGGCTTATTCTTACTTATCAATACCTGGCCTTAGCTTGGCTTAGTTTCTTGCCAGCTTTTCTTAACTTATCCCGTCTGTCTTTTGCCTCTGGGCTTTTCCCGTTCTCTTACTTATACAAATCTTACTCTGTTGCTCTCTGTGTAGCTGGGTGGCTGGCCCCTGATGTCCTCATACTTCTCTGGCTCCTCTTTTCTCCACTCCTCCATCTCTTCCTCTTCTATCTCTTCTCTCTGCCTGCCAGCCCGCCTATCCTTTCTCCTGCCTTGCTATTGGCCAGTTCTTTATCAGACCATCAGGTGTTTTAGACAGGCACAGTAACACAGCTTCACAGAGTTAAACAAATGCAGCATAAACAAAAGTAACACAAATAATTTTCTACAACACACATGTATGCAGGCCAAACATTCATACACAGAGAAATCAAATCAAAGCATGTTAAAATAAAAATAAGACTATTTGATTGGGAGTCACAGCTATCAGTCAACTATACATCCTGGCTACACAAACTGAAGAAAAATCACCAATCGGGAAAAAATACACAGAAATGCTACAAACGTTCCGACAATGTGAGGCTCACTGAGCTCTTTAGATAGGAAACTGCCTTTTCCAACTAACCTGATTTTACAAATACAAAATGTTTTCTTTACTTAAATTCATAACTTTCTGAGCTGGCAAGATGGCTCAAAGTGTTTACCAGGTAGGCCTGGCAGCCTGTGTTTGATCCGCAGAGCCCATGAGGAAGGACAGAACAGACTCCCAAAAGTTGTCCTCTGAGCTGGGCAGTGGTGGTACATGCCTTTGATCCCCGAGCTTCAGAGGCGGAGACAGGCAGGTCTCTGTGAGTTCGAGGCCAGCCTGGTCCACAGAGCAAGACCCAGGAGAGCCAAGGCTACACAGAGAAACCCTGTCTGGAAAACAAACAAACAAAAAAGAATTTTTTAAAAAAAAAAAAGAAAGAAAGAAAGAAAGAAAAGGAAAAGAAAAAGAGGAAAGAAAAATGTGTCCTCCGACCCCCACAAGCACCCCCCTCACTCACACACTGCACACAAGAATAAGAATACATTTTTCTAATCATAAATTTTTGAATAAGCTAGTCCATGAGAAAAAGGGTATTCTCCAAAGTTATAGGAATGCTGATAACCGTAAGAATCCCATGCAGCTCACCCACTGTGTGAACCTGGCTTGCTGTCTACAACTGCCAGGAAATGGGAGCCAAGCATGCTCGGGTACAGAGGCCAGATAAGAGGCTGTTTGGACAGCCAGACAAGGTGTCTGAAATCCGCACGGGAGGAAGGCTACAGAGGAATAGAAGCTACAGGGCGGAAACAAGCCAGGGGGTGGTGGCTCACTGGAATGCCTTCATCTTGTCCAGAGAGGCCTTCCAAGGATCGTCGCCCAGTGGAACCTGTTTCCAACTTCTCAGACAGAAGCTGGACATGGGAATTTTCCCATGATATTTTCCAACTTCTTTGGGGAGGGATAGGATGGGAGGGATTCTGTTTAATTTAGCATTATGTTTTCTACTTATTATGTGCTGGTTTTAGCGTAGGAAACATGTCCGATGCCCTGGAACTGGAGTTACAGACAGTTGTGAGCTGCCATGTGGTTGCTGGGAATTGAACCTGGGTCCTCTGGAAGAGCAGCCAGGGCTCTTAACCTCTGAGCCATTTCTCCAGCCCTGTAGGAAACATGTCAACAAGGAACTAAATGAACTGTAAAGGAAAGTCTCCCACAGTCCCACCTCTATAACACATCTGTTTTCACTTTTTATGTTCTCTCGTTCATAACTTTGCATATTTTCAAGTACATTGTACATTTTAATGTGTTTTCATTTTGTTGTTGTTTTGAGACAGGGTCTCTCTACATAGTCCTGGCTATCCTGGAGCTCACTATGTAGACCAGGCTAGCCTTGATCCTCCTGCCTCTGCCTCCCTAAAGCTGGGAGTAAAGGTGGGCACTGGTTTCATTTGGCTTTTTATAACCCTTTTTACAGTAAGATTCATGTGAGAATGTGTGTGTGTGTGTGTGTGTGTGTGTGTGTGTGTGTGTGTGTGTGTGTGTGTGCAGAAGCCAGAGAAGCACTGTTTACCTTATTCTTTTAAGGCAAGGCCTCTCACTGAACCTGGAGATAGGTTGGCAGACATGGAGCCCCTGGGACCTTCCTGTTTCTATTCCGTGCACCTCCCCAGTGCTGGGATGATGAGCATGCACATGACTGTCTCCAACTTTCTAGGTGGGCTCTAGGGATTTGAACTCAGGTCTTCCCTCTTGCACAGCAAACACTCTTCCCTGCTGAGCCATCTCCCCAGCCAGCAGGTCTTTTTTAATGGGTGGTTTATGGTCTACAAATTGATACTTTTTTTTTTTTTTTTTTTTTACAACTAGGAAAGTGGAGATAGGAGGGACGGGAGGGGAGAAGACAGGGAGAGCAGATCCACAGAACTCCAAACCACTCAACCCCACACTGCTGTCTGGGCCAAACAGTGCCCGATGAGGTGCCCCAGCTGAGAGCCTGCACACTGGTCACGGCTCGGCAGGTCCCGTGACGTCACAGTCAATGCCTCTGGGATTTATTGTGAAAATCAGGGCTTACAAAGAGTGTCAGGAAGGGCAGGTCTGTGATTCTTTAGTCTTCGATGAGGGGGTGCAGAGCCCCTCGGTCCTGCACAAGTCACACACAGCACGGAGACCCCCCAAGATCTTATCAGCTGCGCTGTCACACCTCGCTGCCTCCTCCCGCCCCGGTTCATCTTAAGCTGATAAAAGATAAACTGAGCAGAACAGATTAAGCCAGTTGAACTTTTTTTCTTTGGAACGAGGGAAGAGACTATAATCTCTGTGTGACTGTCAGTATTTTCTAGATTGCCAGACACTTATCGATGGACTTAAGTCAACAACCCGTGGTCACCAAAGGATCAGGGACAGACACCTTACGATTCAAGGGCCTCCAGAAGGCAGCGGATGACGCTCGAGCCAGGAGTCTAGAGACACGGCTTTACACGTCAACTTCTCCTACTCTCGCTGGGAACCTAAGACCTGGGAACTTTTCAGCGTTACAGTCTGTTATCCGGGTACCACGTGGAAGTACCAGCTTCTGGAGCCAGACGTGACGGGCCGCACCTGTAATCCCAGAACCCAGGAGGCAGACACGGAAGAACCGCTGCAGCTCGAAGCAGGCCTGGTTTGCACAGTGAGCCCCGGGGCCAGCAAGACCCATAAGACCTGTCTCCACTGGCTTTCAATTTTGTGACCAGTTATAAGTACAAGAAAAATGGCATAAGTCATGTTGGTCAACTCATTTAAACTTACGTATACATTTTCTAATAAACACTGATAAACTTTCTCTCTCTCTCTCTCTCTCTCCCTCTCTCTCTCTCTCTCTCTCTCTCTCTCTCTCTCTCTCTCTCTCTCTCTCTCTCTGTGTGTGTGTGTGTGTGTGTGTGTGTGTGTGTGTGTGTGTGTGTGTATGGATGTTTTGTGAGCGTGTATGCCTGTGCACCATGTACATGCCTGGTGCCCACAGAGGCCAGAAGAGGGCACTGGATGCCCTGGAACTGGAGTTTGTGGGTGCTAGGATGTAAGTGCTGGGATGTGGGGTGTTTGTGGGTGTTGGGATGTGGATGCTGGGAACCAAACTCTAGTCCCCTGGAAGAGCAGCCAGTGTTCTGACCCTGAGCCGTCTCTCCATCTCCAACACTAGTGGACTTTAGATGAGGAATTATTAAAGGCAAGAAACAAAAAAAAAATGGTAAAAGATAATTCTTGAAACCAAGATAGTTATGGTTCTTTAGGAAGGAAAATATGGGTCGGGGAGTGAGTAGGACACTTGTCCAGAAGCAATGTAGGCCAGCTGAGCTTGGAGGACATAGCACAGTGGCAGACAGAAACAAGAGAGATCCTCTCTCAACAAAAAGGAAGACTCTAGAAAGTTTTACTCTGCTCTCCACATGTATGCTGTGTCCCCCCAACCCCCACCAGATAAATAAATAAATAATAAACAATAACGACAAATAGATGTAGAGATTGTCTAGGTGGGTCCGCCCTAACTTTCATTTTCCGGCTGGCTGCAGAAGTCAATGGGATTCTAAGCAGGAAGGAAGGGTCTGGGTGTATCCTTCAGGCTCAAGGGCAACTCGGGCTGTCTCCGGGAGCAGTGGGCTCTGGGTAACAGCGGTGAAAAGATGGAGACCTTCCCCAACAACGGTAAGAAGTGGAACTCAACCAACCTCGAGAGTGGGTTTGGAAGTAGATTCTACTCCAGATTCTCCAGATAAGAACCAGCTCAATGTACACTTTGAGTTCAGCTTTGTAAGAGCCCTCCCGAGCAGGAACTGAATCACGAGTGGTTTCTAACCTAGAGCTGTGAGCTTGTATATTGCTGCTTTCAGAAGCCCTGTCCGCAGTAGAATTCTCTACAGCAACAGAAAACGAATACAATTTGCCAACAGTCGGGAAGGTTGTGGGAAAGCAGAGGATGATCTAACCACTTCAGGAAATGGGATAGAAGTTTCTTATAAAGTCGAACCTACATCTGCCCTACGGTTCTGCATTTCATTTGCAGGTATTTACTCAAGGGAAATGAAAATGTGTGTCTATAAAAGACTCTTTCACTAATGTTCACAGCAGCTTTATTCATAATCGCCCCAGACTGGACAAGGGTCACATGTTCATCAACAGGAGAATGAGTAACAATGAACTAGGAACACAAACATGGTTCAAGTTCAGAAATAATGATGAGTGGAGAATACGAAAGACAGTCTAGTGCTATCTCATTTAACAAAGTCCTAGAAAAGCTGAGGGTGTGGCTGGGATGCCAGAGTGCTTGCCTAGCACCAGCCAAGACTGGTTCAATCCCAAGAGCCACACAGACCACACATGGCAGCACACACCTGTACTCCCAGCATTTGAGAACAGGAGGAGGAAGAAGAGGCTGCTCTTCCAGACTGAGTGAAGGTATTTCTAGGGTGACCTGAATGAGATCAGTGGGCGCCTTAGGCATCCATCTGGGGTGATGAACATGTTCCACATCTTGTCGGGGATCAGATTACACCAATGGGCAGGTGTTTATTGTCAGGACGAGGGTACAGACATTCCAGTTTGTAAATTACCCGTCAATAGAGCTACTTTTAAATAAATTGGAAAGGAAATTCATCGCCATATATTATATAGCCTCTCACATGCAAAAACATCCCCTTTCTGGCTAGTCCTGAACTTATCTTTTCTCACACTGTAGGAGGCTTCCCAAAGCCCATAACAGCTTCCCAGGATTGATCAGGTTTCTACTCAGGTATTTATGTAAGGATCCTAAACACAGCCAATAACTGAAGGATAAACTCATTTATCTAACCCGGTAGTTTCTAAAGCAAAACAATCACCGCTATGACAAGTGAGGTTTCAGGTGTGGGCTCCAGTCTCCTCAGAAGAGTCCAAATAGCTGCATGACAGGAAGGAGAGGATCCCTAGACCTGACACGTGGTCAGGTGTCGTGGGCCGCCTATGAGGCACCGTCCTTACAAGGCTCCGTATACACAGGGCGTGGTGCATGGGACCCTGTCCAGTGAGTTCACATGGGATGCAGTCACCAGGGAAGGGAGACGGGCTGCAGGATGGGTCATGGGTGTCTACAAGGAAAACCATTGAATGAGAAGGCACACTGGGAAAAGTCCCCTGTTGGGTGGCAGCCCAGGAGGAAGGGAATGCTAATGAGATCTCTCCTCAGATGAGTCATTGTTGTTTAATCCGAAGGATCATCCAAAAAAGTTTTATTAGCTGAGTCAGTAATGGGTCTGGCCTCATGCATCACCAATAGTTACAAATTATTAGTTGTTACAAATTCTCTAATCCTTTCTAAAAAAAGGTTTATTATGAAGTGACGCAGTGTGAAATTGAATCCCCGGGTCTTGTTTCCATGTGTAAGTGTGATGTGTCGGATGCGTCAGTGTTACCACATGCCTGCTTTTGAAATCGAGAGATGTTTGATAAATTTGGCTTTGAGTTGAACTGAGACTGCTCACTTGGTTTCTCATCCTAGGGTTGTCCATGTCTAGCTATCACCTGGATCCCAACACACACACATTCTCTCTCTCTCTCGCACACACACACACACACACACACACACACACACACACACACACACACCACTGAAGAGGAAGAGAAATGATGTTCTGCACCTCCCTGCAGAACATCACTTATTAGAAGTCACTGCTTGGCTCCCTAGCCCTCATTGGAACAGTCTTCAGGACATGCTTTGCCTTGTTTGTTATTAACATTTTATTTTAAGATTGTTTTTAAAATATGTATGTGTGTGTGCACGTGTCTGCCATGTGTGTCTGGGTGCCAGCAAAGACCAGAGGGTACTGAACCGCCCGGAACTGGAGTTGCTGGCAGTTGTAAGCCTCCTTGCATAAGCACTGGGAACTGAACCTGAATCCTCTGAATGCACTCTTAACTGCTGAGCCATCTCTACAGCATCTGTCCTTGCTTTCTTGAGTAACCCAGCGCTTAGTAGGTAAAAAATAAATAATTTTCATCTCGGTCTTTTCTGTTCTGGTCTCTATAGAGATGGAGACCAGTACTACCCCTTACTAACTACCTAAGAGCACTTGGTCACTGCTGGCTCATCTCCACCCATGAAGTTGTCTCTTCCCTTTGATCTCATCATTACATCTTCTCCTCAGGGCACCTCTAGAAATGTTGCCCAAGTGTCTGTGATGACTGGGTTCCTTCCAGCTGGGGCAGTGAACGTAAGTCACTGAGCTCTGTCGTCTGGTGCTCTGCTTCCCATCCTTAGCTTGATAAATGCTAAACTCCCACAACAACTTTTGTAGGATTGTGGGGATTTATTGTAAGATGTATGGAAAAGCCAATGGTAGCATACAAGCAAGTATCGGCATCAATGTTAGCACTGTGAAAAGATCCAGAAGTAAAGAGAATTACCCTTGTTACTGTGTTCAGTATGTGGACCCCAAACCAATGGCTACCTGCAACCCAGTGAAGGGCTGAAGCTCACAGAAAGGACAAACTTCCACATGGCCAGAGAGAAGACAGGTAGCACTTGTCTTAATAACACATCGTGGGGAAAGGGTCCTGAAACCAGCCCAGGCTTCAGGGGACCAGAGGCTCTGCTGGCCACAGCTTGACATCCTTAAATTCCCTGTTGCCCTTGGAGCTCCCAAGTACTCTATGTCATATTTCTGTATCCAGAAGCCCAGTAGTCAAACAGCTTTCTTCTCTACTTAGGAAACAGGCCAATGGATGTCACTGTTGAGCCGCTGAAACAGAACCTGAACTCTAACAGGACCTCGAGCAGCTGCACACTCGATCCCCATTACTTCAAGAGTCAGAACGTGCTCTGGGCCCAACACAAGTGATGGAAAAGGAGACATTAACCGAGAATCCATGTTCAGGACAAGTGAAAGCAAGTGTCTATGAACACAGTGAATAGCTGGATGTAAGCACACATGTCACTTATCAGAAGAAAAGGCCACAAAAGGAATCACACCAGGTCTTTTGACTTCAAATGTTGTTTCTTCCACACAGTGTGATTTTGTCTCACAGACAATGCTCACAATTAATTCATAAAGTATATATGTATGTATGTTTCTGCTGATACTGAGAGAGCCCGCTTTTCAATAGCCCTGCATAAATACATACTTCTAGCTGAGTGTGGTGGTGTGTGCCTTTAATCTAAGCACTCAGGAGACAGAGGCAACTGGGTCTCTGAGTGTAGAGAGCCGTGCACGGCCGTGCCTCAAAGATGGCGCGGCGTCCGGCTTTTGCCTTCCCGATGGCAGGTGCTCCTTATTTGGCTAAGGCTAGGATCTGGCTTGCTTCCGCACACCTGGACCTAATCTGGCTTGCTTGTGTATGTCTGACCCTATCGGCATTGTCCACGTGGCACTACGGGGTTGATTGCCCAGTGGCTATAAAGGGCGTGGGCTGGCTTTCCCCAGGAAGAAGATCCGAGGAGATGGAAGATCGGAGGAGATAGGAGATCGGAGGAGATAGGAGAGAGCGAGCGAGTGAGAGAGAGAGAGAGAGAGAGAGAGAGAGAGAGAGAGAGAGTGAGAAGGTGGCTTTCCCCGGGGTCAGAAGATTGTCTCAAGGTTCCTGAATAAACTGCTTGGAGAAGAGCCTGGTGTCGCGTCTTCCTTGCTGGTCGAGGCGGACTCGACAGGTGGTGGCCCGTACGGGGAAAACCTTTAAGGCTCAGAACTCTTCGCAGTCAGGGCAGTGCACTGGTAAGTCCCCAGGTAAGGTGGGGATCCGTGATAAAAGCGGGAAACGTAGAGCCGTGACCAAAACGGACAGGGAAAATTAAGTAGAGCTGTGACCAAAACGGAC